TATGAGTCTGACATCGAACAGGACGCGGCGCGACGATCAAGTCAACCACACCAAACCATGGAAGGTATTAATGGCCAAACACACGTTCATGGCCGTACGCTGAAGTGAAAAACAATCTGACAAGCATTCTACCCGGTGTAGATTACCCTTGAGTGACCTTTGACCCTATTATACTTAATCTGTAAACAGCGCTGTGAAACAACAGCGTCCAAATTCGCAGAATTCGTCCGTGTGGCCGGAAAGAAGGAAATCGGACAAGAGGCTAAAAACATGTTGACAAAATCCATGCCATTTGAAAACGTCTATTACCATGATAAATGAAACGTCAATATGGTTTATGATTAGTGAATAATAACGTAACACAATTAAATATCCAAAACTGACTCTCCTTCTGTATTCAAATTGTATATTTTATTATTAACCTAGTATAAATTACGGATGTAAATTAAAATCCAAAATTGTTGACATATTAAACGAAGGTTAAGGTCTTGCGTTGTTTATTGTGATGTATACGGTTATACCAGATTGTACAGAACAAGACGTATATATCTTTCACGTGGTCTAGCGGTTATCCATAGAAAACATTTTTAAAAATACATATCTAAAAAAACGAGTGTATAATTTTCTATGTTATGTGCATAACCCAACAACATTGTATTTTTGTTGTCGACATCTGTAGAAACACCACGTCTCTGAGATCCAGTCAATTCTTTAAGTCACTCAGTGTCGTTAAAAAATGCAGTCCACGTAATTTATTCTTGACCTGTAATTTGAGAATAGCAATTCACGAGTATGATTCCATGGAAAACAGAAAGTTCTATGACCTCTGATCAGCCAGGTCTTAGGATATTTTATATTTCCGAGAATTTAAGTTTAAGTAAACAGGATGTCGCCGCAGCCTATAAAGCCCCGTTCAATTGCAAGCTGTTCAATTACAACCCGAATCCTGCTTGTCAGTGGTGCTTCATTTTTTCTCCGGTAAGTCGCAAATTATCGATTTTTGTGCGCATTAAACAACGCCAAATGATGTCGTTGTGTAAGAAGATTTTACTATCACTATCTGTTTATTAGCCTCGCCAAACACAGCCCAATACAGGGGCAAGTGGAATCAGCAGATTTCAGTCATGATAGCGTGTAGTTTCCTCAGCAGTGTACTCGGAGAGATTTAAAGCAAACTTGGTATAATTACCGCACGTCGCGGTTTCCTGTGATCATTTTTTTTTCATAAATGTGTTCGTTATTTTTACACACTATACTAGGTAAGCGAGTTCAGCATTTTGGTCACTTGCTTAGTACAACACACTTGCTGAGTTATTGTTTTTTTTTCACGCAATGCATTCAGGAATGGCTACGAGAGAGAATTTGTATATGACCTATTCTATGTTTATAGATGTGGCCCATAGCTCTTCTTGTGTTAGTTTTTAGTCTTTGTAATGGTAGTAATTTCTGGTACACTTGGTGTCCTCAATTTTTAATTATTTTTAGATATTAGTATTTTATCGACACGAAAGTCCTACGCACATACGTGCGACGGCAAAAACAGAATATTTTCTCCCATCACGCCATCAATGAATAATATTTTTATTATATTCCCACCAACGCGATAACCGCAACAAAAACGGCTTGTTTGGTATTCTTTTCCTGGTATTATTAATATCACCCACCGGCACCTTTCCACTCCCCGTCACCCAACCAGCATCTTTCCACTCCCCGTCACCCAACCAGCATCTTTCCATT